TACATCTCCGGTTTCTTTTTTATCTACGAAAGGAACGTTGTTTCTTGGTTTTTTCGCGTAGTTTTTTTTTTTTTTTTTCTTTGTTTCTTTCCATCGGTGTCCTTCAATCCATTTTTCTCTTCCCGTTTATTTTCTCAGTCTCTTGCGTTTTCGCCTTCCGATTCGTCTCGACGAGAAATAAATCGCCTTTCTATCTATCATTACGTGTCTCGTCGATACGAACCATCGCATTATTTCTTTTTCGATTCGATCTTTCGTCGCACTTAGAAACATTAGAAGCGTTAGCTCGTTTCGTTGAACGGATTTATTCTGCGACGCTTTACCGCCTCTCCCGTTCTCTCTCTCTCTCTCTTTCTCTGTCTGCGTGAATGTTCATCCATCCTTCCCTTCTTTAGCTTTTCTTCGATCGTTCGCCGCGTTTTCTTCGACTTCCTCTTTCTAAAATATCGTGTTAGACGATAAAAACCAACTGGATTCGATTTTATATCGAAGAAAGCGGAACAGGCATCCGTTAGGGGACTGTCTGCGAAGCTACACTTTGATTAGATGTAAAGATAGGTTTTTACACCACGATTTATGCGATGGCAGTGGTACGGTGTATCTGCATCGAATTTGCGTTGAATTTTTTATAGTATTTTTCATGAATATCGGGTTGAACAATGGAACAAGGATGGCTAATGGTAATAAAAAAGACTGATGCAATTTTTACTACTGCTACGTGTAACGCGGTGTTAAAAGTTTCCTGAAACCCTGCTGTACAACTGCTTTGTTATTCCGACTGACGCACACACCAGGCGCCGGGGACGAGTTCGACAAACATTCTAGCTCCAGCTCTGCCTCATTGCCAGGTGTGTCTTCTTCATCTTCTTCTATCTTCTATTTTTTTTTCCTTCGAATCACTGTAACCGCTCTATACATAATATTTTATATTATATTTAACTAATATGTTATTTATTATTCTTATTGTTACTGTTATTCTTATTCTTATTATTCTTAATATTATTATTATTATTATTATTATGATTATTAATATTATATATTACTATTTACTATTACTATTATATATACTATTACTTACTACTATTATTTATATAAATTTTATAATAGTGCCCTACGTTTAACCAGTATAATTAAAACGGTTCTCCTTTGTAAAATTCAAGTGTCTCAACCTGCCGTTACAGATGACTCGTACTTAAGGACTGACGTAAAACCACCAAAGTTAGGCAAAGGTGCGGTTCACAAGATATACACGTTTCTCCTTATTATACCCGTGCACCATATGTATTGTCGCCTTTTTTTTTTTTTGCAGTAATCTCAACGGCTATCGAGCACTGCACGCGCTTTCTCTCTCTCTCTCTTTTTCTTCCATCCCTCGTCTCGCCTACTTTCCATCTTTGCTTCTTTCGTTTCTCGCATCCTCTACAATGCGCACATTTTTCTATTGGCATCGAACTTTCCTTACTTTCGTCGCTATATCGTTATATCAGCCGACTGCGATTCACCTCCGCATTGAAAAAAATCCTCAACCCGTATCGGTTTCTCCGTTCGAGACATTTCCATCCGCTTTCGACCGATCTTATAATTTTACAGGAAACGGATTCGAACCGGTTTCCTTTTCAATCAAGATTTTGCGCTTTACACTTTCTTATTGATGCACGAACATCGAGGTGAACATCTACGCTCACTTTCGATTCCGCCTCGTTATTAGCACGTATTAGTAATATTCGGATTTGTGGTCATAAATTCGTCTTTTATACGACAAGGAAGCTATCGCCATCAATTTTACTGCTCTACTAGTTCTCTCTTCTCTCTTCTTTCTTCTCTTAGTCATGTGATCTTTTATGAAATCATATTGACCAATTAGAAATCCAGTTCTCTGGATATGCGGCCA